AAGGGGAGGAGAAAAAATGGTACCTGACTTCACAAATATCTTCGGCAAGCACATACCAGGTCTTCCCTATCAGGAGTCCCCAACTTGTGGGCTCTGTGCTGGTGCTGGTTCGTGGCCTCTTGGGGGCGAGGCTGTTGACCAGTGTGGGTCTGGGACCTGTGGCCCCCACCCCAACCCCACGCCCAGGTGACACAGCTAGGGGGTGGGCAGCAGGTGAGAGAGGCTGTGTCTGTGTTTGCAGCCACTCCCCATCACCCATGTTGCCGCCCGGGCTGCACCTCTGCTAGGATCAATAGCAGTCCTGAATTCTCACGGGAACAGGGGCCCTACTGCTGCGTGATTGTTGCACTGTATACTGCACTGTGGTAGTGGGAGACAGGGGCACACAGTGGATGAGATGCACTTGGGTCATCCTGGGACCAGTCCCCCCACCACCCATGGAGGGACTGACTTCCATGAGGCTTGTCCCTGGGTCGGGAAGGCTGGAGACTGCCGTACTATATACAAAGGTGCTGTGTTGATTACAAAAATAAATAGAACTTGATCTCGCCAGTTAAAAAAAAAAGGATAAAAAACAGCTGAAGACATACATGCACAAACCATTATCAAACTAATTAACCAAGGGAAAAGAGAAGTGGGTAAGTGAGCACAGAATGAGTATGGAACCTCCAATCACAAGCTCCAGAGCAGTGGCATTACAGGTTACTTAAATTTGCTTTCCCTTTAAGGATTACGTCAGTGAGATCATAGGAAAAGGGGCTCATGACACATGCCTGTGATTAAATTCCTGGAAGCAGAGGAACGTTCTTTGGAAGAATAATTTTCTCGGCTCTTATTGAACTACTTATTTCTGAAGTCTACATATACGTAATTCTGCACTCTAAGGACTATTAGAATTAAATCAATGGGTACAACTTGGACTTTCTTCACTACATATATATATTTTAAAAACCAGTAATAGGCCATGTGAGATGTTGTATTTCATTTATACTTCCACATCAAACTTTAAATTTCAATCCAATTTAAACTACACATTCAACCCTTACTTACATGTAAAACATTACGCAAGGAATGGAAAAGGTAAGAAATGACCCCTAATGTTTAGAAAATACACCTAGAAGGGGATATTAAACAGATTCGCAAATGACTTCAATTTAACTTAAGAGCTAACGACTATACTATAAAAGCAGTATAAAAAAAAGAAAAGCCTTACTACTTTCAAAAGGAGTTTCATCTGGGTGGTGAGACGCCTAATAGAGGTGATGTTGATAGTGGAATTTGTAGGCAGGGAACCTAATTCTAGGGTAAAGAGCAAAGGTTAAAACAGTGATGATTTGTTTAGAGAACAGCAAACTTTATTTTTGAAAACTGTATTTTAAGTACAGTGGTGCAAAAGTGATACACGTTCAGTACAAAGCACCCTGAGCTGTGACCTTCGCCTCGCTCTATGCAGTATGTCACCTCTTCACCATGCTCCTAAGTTCAGCCATGTGATCACAAAGGTAAATAGCCGACACTGTATTCTACAAAGTACATGCTATCCGACACTGTACTATAAAATAGGTTTTACGTTAGAGTGTGTTGCCCTACTTGGCTAAAATAATTATGTGTAACATAGGCCAGGCTAAGCTATGATATTTGGTAGGTTAGGTATAGTAAGTACATTTTTACTTAAAATATTTTCAACTCATAATGGGTTTTGTTGTTTTCAGAGCTTATCCATTTGTTTATTTCATGAGAGAGACGCACATATAGGCAGATATGCCAGACAGGGCTTCGCCACACCGCCATTGTCCCCAGCCCTCCGGTAGGCCAGGATCACAGACACCAGGAGTGTGCGCAGTGTGCTCAAGCTGACCTGGGATCCAAACCCAGACTGTCCCCTCCAGTACTGCACAGTGGTGTCCCTCCATTTGCGCCAAGCTGTGCCTTACGATGGGTCCATCAGGACACATAAGAAATCAAGGAGCATCTGGAATCCCACAATACAGGATTTCCTTTTATAAAAAAGGAAAATGATATATACAGATATAATGTAACTTTCCAAATAATCCACCTGATAAATGGTAGAAAATGTAAGCCAAAATTGTCTGAATCCAGAGGTCCCATTCTCACAGTAGTAGAGTTCAAAACAATGCTCAAGAGTATGAACTAGGCCAGCAGGTGGCATGGTGGTTAAGGCACTGGATCCCACAAGGCCAACTGTGTGGTTCAAGTCCCAGACCCAGTGACGAAAAACATGCTGGGTGAGTGTGTGCCCAAACTCCTGAGGAGAGAATGGAAAAGAGACTGCAGCATGGCCATCTCCCCTGGGGTTGATTTCTCTTTCTCTCTCTCTCTCCTTTTTTTTTTTTTGAGATTTTTTTGCTATAGGGTATAGGGTGCATGTACTCACCAGAGACAGAGAGACAGAAAGCGAGAAATCATGCCCCAGGAGAAATAGCTATGCTGCAATCCCTTCTCCTCTCAGGATCTTGGGCACACATGCACATGTGCCTGGCATGAGTTTCAAATCCCTGGGTCCAGGACTTGAACCACAGTTGGTCATGGAGTCCAAGTGATATAACCATTACACTACTTGCTGGTCCCATGGGGTTGATTTCTTACTTTCCTCTCCCTGTCTCTCTCTCTCTCTCTACTAAACACACTTGCCCTATGGCAAAACTAAAACTAAAAGGAGAGCATCAACCAATTATGTGTTTTTAAGTGTGTATTGCGAGCTTCAGAAAGTTTGTGGGAAAATCGAATTATTGTCTAAATTTATTTTGGTGCAAAGAAATTTTGAAATGTATCTACAGATTGTTCATATACATGTTCCATAAACTTTTTGAAGATCCCTTATATATCAACATTTAGCTCATTTTTATGTGTATGCATATATAAAGCCCTAGAGATACACATTAAAAAAATTACTCTCTAGCCTTGAGAGAATTAAAAGAAAAAGAAGGCTTTTACATTTTATATAATGACCTTCAGTGCTACTGACTTTTTTTGAATTTATTCTTTTTCATTTATATTTAATCACTTTACATCTTTATGGTGTGCATGTTTTTTCCCAGCATGAGCACAGTATAGTCAAGTTGAAGGCATTACCATATACATTATCAGCACATAACTTTTCATTTTGGTGTATAATAAATGTGTTGTTCCCGCTCCCCTGCCATCGCCTAGTACCCATCCCATTACCGACCCCCAGCTGTCTGTCTTTCATAGAAAAACATAAAAAGTAACAAAAACTTCCAATTAACACTAAAATTAAGATAATGTGGTATCTTCTGTTTTCTTACTACTCTAACAAGTTTTTACTCAATTTTTATTCTCAACAGACACATTTAACTAATATGCTCAAGCCTGTAATATTCTCACTTGTACAAGTGTTTGCGAGCAGTCACAGGTCACAATTCAAAAAGAGCTCAGCTGTCACGGAAGTTCAAATATGTGCTATGCTCTATCCATTCACGTATTCGGCAAGCATTCTCTGAGTGCCCACTGCGGGTCAACACTGTAAAAGATGCTGGGGACATAACAGAGGAAGAGGGATAAGTCGTCAGCTATCCTGCAACTTACCTTGTACTGGGAAAAAAGTCAGGATAAACTAAGGTATTTCTGAAGTGCACATATTACCCTGGCACCAGTTAATACATTAATGATGTCCTTCAATGGAAGATTAAACAAAATGGTAGGTGTAATGCTGCTTTTTGGTGTTTTGGTTTGGTTTGGTTAGTCGGTCTGGTGCCTATCTGCCATAAAAAACTTGATTTTATTGACTGAATGGCACAACCCAACCTCTGGTTGACCTTCAAAGGAGGAGATTACCCCGATTATCAGGGTGGGCCCCATGTGATCACAAGGGGCCTAAAAAGTAGAAGAGGGGAGCAGTGGGATGTCGTGATGACTGACAGAGGAGGACTCAACTATTGCTGCTGTTTATAAAGATGTCACGAAAGGGCCACCAGCCAACCACTGCCAGTGGCTGGGCATGATGGTACAGGCAAGAAAACAAATCCTCCCCAGAACCTAGAGAAAGGAATGCAGCTCCGCCAGCACCTTGATTTGGTCCAGCTAGGCCCCACCAGGCTTTTCATAGCTCTAAAAATAGTGTTAAGGCATTACATTTATGGTAACTTGTTACAGCAGGAAATAGAAAACTAGTACAGAGGCTTCACATCTTTGGGTTTTAGAAAAAAAGAACCTGACGGTAACGTTTAAAATGACCTTATATTCCAGGAGGCTCAGTCTGTGAGATGTCTGGTCCACTCCCCAGAAAGATAATACAGAAATCTTTTCTATATCATCCAATTTCATGTCTGCCGAGACTAATTCTAAAAAACTGAGGCTTGTATTTCTGTCTATTGGATTTCTTCCGTCTTATCTATCTAGTAATTTTACAAAAATACTGACTGTGACAGACAGGAATTTTACTTCTTTTTCATTTTTTAAACAGACCATTCACAGCAATGGAAAGTGGAGAACTGACAGATTAAATCACTGGCCCAAATTCCAAAAGACAGTAGTTTTCTCATTCACCTGTCCACTGGATTAACAAATGTTTACGATGAGCTTTGTACTCCAGACACCAAGCTACTACTGTGCGGAGAAAGACGCGGAGGAAAATCCCTCTGAGTTTCATCAGCCCGAGTCCCAGGAGTCGCCCTGCACTACCTCACGTGCAGGGTTCCGTGCTGTTTACCCCCCAGCCAGTACTCGCCCCAGGAAGACACGCGCAAAGAAATGCGGACAGAGACGGAGCAGCAAGTAAATGCAACTTTAAAAAAAGTACAACGACTGCAAGAAACACACCAACAGGCGCCCCACCTCTATCGGTCAGTGGCTGGGACACAACGCAAGAGAGTTCCAACGCCCATCCGCGGATCCTGGCTCCACTACGGACGCCCCAGCCCCGCCCCGGCTCCGCCCCCAGGGTCCTGGCGGAGCCCCACCCCCTACGTAGATTTGGCCCCGCCCGCCACGTCGCCGTCGTAGCTCCGAGAACGCCTTACCCGTTTGAGCTCCGCCTTCCTCTGCAACTCCGAGTGCCGTTCTAACGCGCTCGCGAAGCCGCCGGGGCGCGCCTTAGGCTCCGTGGAATCGGAACTCCCGCTCTCGGAACCACTCGTAGTGCCTGCGCCTCGAATCGGCCTGGAGAACAGAAACACTCGCAGTAAGTGGCTCCCGGCAGCCCCGGCCCGG